CTAAAGATATTTTTGTATTTTATATCTCAAAAGGGCAGGTTTTTTTTAAATTAGGATGGCAACAGAAGATAAATTTTCATCATTCTACAAATATAAATATTACCATCTTTCCAGCTTTTAAGAACTAGGCCCTATCTATTAAGAAAGCTGAAGGAAAACACCTTCTTTGGTTGAGACCTATTATTAAAAAAACCCAAAAGAAAACCCAAAGCAAAACAAAAATCCTGCCCTTACCTGCACCCCACTTACATAATTACATGAAAACAGCCTGTGGTTTCCTGGGTAATTTTGCTGGGGTTTAGCTGCTGCTCACTTCTGTTATAACTCAGAACAATCCCTTCTCAGAGAGAAGGAACTCAGATTAAAGCCTCTCATTGCTACTCTGTCAGTGAGCCAGTCTGTTCAGCATAAACCTGGAACTGTCTCTTACAAATAGAATTTAACAAAAAATATGTCTTACTAGATTTTACCCTGTGTTTTTCCTAATTTCCATTTATCAAGTAGCTAATCACTACTAAACTACTAAAAAAAAGCATTTTAGGTAGCCATTAAAAAAATCAGAAAAATAGTAAACATATTTAAGAGCAAGTTGTTTTTACCACATGGCAATAAATATAAATAAATAAATATAAATATACATGGCAAATAAATACACATGTATGAGGAGTTATGAGCAAAGAGAACAAAATTTTCCACACAATTCCAAAAGAGCAATATGAAACCTTAGAGTATTTTCTGTAGTCCTGTAAACACTGGAAGCCCTATTACTTGATCACATTACTTCTGTAATTTCAATAATATATGGAACAAAATATTTAGTGCAATTTATATAAAGATAAGTAAGTTCTACCTGATTAGCTTATTTTTTATCATTCATTAACACTCCATGGAAATGATCCCTTTAAATGTGAAGGGGCCAGTGCAGTACCAGCAATATTTGTGATTGACTCCTAAAATGAAAAGTACAAAACAGCCACAAAACTTCAAAGTGCATCCCACTGAAATTCCCAATTCCTCTGCTTTACAGAGTGATCTCAGCCCTTATCAGCCCAGAACAACACAGGTCACACTGAATTAACACAGGACAAACACTGACTAAACTAATCTCAACTCAACACTTGGCAATATTTTTTTTGCTAAGCCTTTTGGTCTACACAAATCACTTGATTTTGTCAAAGTCCAGACCAATATAAATGAGTAACTGAAGGTACTTCTTTGTTTTTGAACTGCAACTAAAATATCTGTGCTTGATAAATCCTGGCCTCTGTTTGAAATGGAATTAGTGCTTTCTTTTCAGAAGGTGTTTTATAGTTACTTCTTTCCTAAATAATAGTTTACAAACACTTTCAACTGTTTCTCTTCATCACCTTTTAATTTTTTCTAGCTTGTTTTTAATATAAAAATACTGAAATTTCCTTCCAATTTTTTCCCATGGATTAAGTTTAATACTCCAACACTGTTTACAAATTAATATAGATTTTTTTAAAAAGAAAAAGTTTAATTAAGTACTTTGGAATCAAACATGTACAGAGATTTTACTTTGTCAAGGTACAAAGGTTGAATTTCCCACTTTTTAAATACAGTGTTCCAAGGAAACTTAGAATGCTGTCTAGCATTTAATTACTTCAATAGCTGACAGGAATGATAGAAAATATGATCTCAAATCTTATTTTTAAAAAATTAAAACACAAAAGGTGATAAATCCAGCAAAGTTATCCAGACATAGTTCTGGTGCCAGCATTAGGTGATAATTAATTATTAGTTTCAGAGCAGAGGAATTCTTCAGCTGCGTGCATTTCAGAAATGCTTTCCTGAGGTGAACTGCTGCCTTTGGACAAGAACTGAGGAGTTAAACCCTTCATTCTTATCAGGCCTCTGAGTTCAGAACATCCAAATTCTTCTTACTTAAATCACTAGTTCTCCCCCTAACCATAATTCTTTTGAAGGAATCTCTTCTTTTTTTTTACTAAACAACAGCTTAATGCCACTTAATTCCCAGAAAATACAGAACTTTTCAGCCTGAAATAAGAGGTTTAATAGGCCATTAAAATTACCTGAATCTCCCCTTTTTTTTTGCTTCTCATGTACCTATCTGGCTTTGTTTTTCAGGCTCTGATTCCTTTCTAATAAGCAGCACTCCAAAAGGAGACAAAAATTACCAAACCCTTAATCCCAAATCATCAAGCAGCCAACAATACCAAGCATAAAAGCAACCCTACCTCTGAGGGGTGATTTTTAAAAATGGATGAAGAAGATCCCTCAACAGGTGGGGACAGGAGCAGCAGATCTGAGAAGAATGAGGAAGAAATCATCTGAGAGACCAAAGGCAGCTACAGAAAACAAAGGCAAGGAGGAAAGAGGCAGCAGCTTTCTCCCACCACCTTTGAAAAGAGAGGAAAACAGATGAGAGGGAAACAATAAGCAGGGAAACTTCCTGCTGTAACATGATCTTTGTGTAGCAGAAGTCAAGGAAAGACTCAGTTGTTCCAGCAGCAATTAAAAGAAGCAGGAATTGAAACAGGAGCAGATCTGACTGCAGGTTTTAGAATGGATTGATTGAGCTGTCTCAAAGCTGTGCAGTTCCCAAGGGCTGCACCATGACTTCTCATTCAGCATCACAAATGCTCCATCTATAAAGCACCACAAGAATAATGATAATCCAATATGATTGAAAAAACTGAATGGTATCCATTTCAAACCATGGTCCAAAAATATATGCACTACTCCTAGGAGAATGAAAGGCTGCTATTTTATTGCTCTTAATCATTCACTGAAGTAGTGAGGTTCAGCCAGTACCAAAATAATTTTGCTGCAGAAATACAGGATCCCTCTGGAAAGATAAGAGAGGCATTTGGAAAAAAATTTAAATCAGAAACCAGTCAGTTTGGCATTGGCTTTGCATAAAAAGACTCAAAATCCTATTTTTAAATGGCAGACATTAATTGTCAAAACATTAAATATTTCAAGGTCAGTCAATCAGACACCCCTGTTAACTGCAATCTTTATAGTGGGTCATGTCTCTGTGATAAAACTGAGGAAATGTCTCAGAGCTCACTGTCAGATAAATGCTTTGCACTTACCAGTCTGAGTGCACATACTGAGCAGGAGAAACACAGAGTAAGAAGCAAGGCTGGCAACAATCAGCAGCAAGATACTAAAAACCACAAAACATTCACAATTAAGCACTTTTACAGTACAATGAACTTTCGAGCTTTAAGAATGCTACTCTTGCAAGAACTAAGCTACAGGATTTCCTCATTTTATGGCTTTTATCTGCTGACTGTGGTTCACATGGTTTCTGATCTTCCCAATACTTGCCAAGTTGCCCTGATGTGTGGATTACAGGATGGCCAGAACCATGGGAGTTTGAGTGTGCACATAAACACAAACACACATCCCCCAGTGAAGAGACACCAATGCTTAGGAAATGGATAAAGTGACAATTCCAGTGGCTTTGGCCCCATTACCCACAGGTCAGCATTTGCAACAAGCAAAAGTGCAAACAAAAGCAAGGGTTCATTCAGGGTTTTCAGCCACATATCCATCCTATTCCACAAGGCCCATTCCTGGAGCTAAAGGAAACCAGATTTTTGAAAAGAAAATATCAATCTATCAGGAGTAATGGCCAAGAAATTGCCACCCTGTGGCAATTTAATGCAACATCTGGGTAGGACTTATATTAGGTCAGATCTGAATGACTAAATCAAAAAGGGGAAGATCTTAATCAACAATTCTGAAAGGCACAAGCTATTTATTTCTTCCTCAGATTTGCACAGGAGTCTCAGTATTTTTTTTTCTTTAATTTAAACCTACAATGGGCGTTTAGAAGTGAGTATATGTAAAAACTGAAAACTTACCTAAACCCCATGATCCCTGTGTTGGCCATGGCATAGGATAAGCCAAGTATCCCACTGCCCATGATTGCATTCATTAAGTTAAACACTGAGAAAGCAAAGGAAGAACCATGACTTGAAGAACTCTGTGAAAAAGACAGAAAAACAAAAAGCACAATTAGTGAAAGAAATCTTTTGATCTTTCCTAAAATGAAATTCAAGGGAGAAGGAGGCAACAGTCAACTTCTCCTTCTCCAATCTAAAATCTCACTTCTCATTCTGACACGACGCAGATCCTCGCGCACACGATGCCGTGAGCATCCCAAGACGCCCACAGAGAGCCTGGGAGCACAGCGGGGGCAGAGCGCAGAACGAGCAGGGCAGGATTCAGGGCTGGGATCCGGCTGTCCCTGCGTGCCCCAGCAGGGCCCAGGCAGCGCTCCCAGCGCTCAGCAGGCAGGGAAGCGAAGGGATCAGGAGCAGCCATGGGAGCAGAGGCTGATCCCCCCCTCCTCCAGGTGATTCTCCCGTCCCCGGTGCTGTCACCGCCCCTCACTGCCCCGTCCCGCCGCCCTCTGAACCCGCGCTGCCCGAGCCTCCCCTCAGCGCCCAGCGCAGCCCCCTCAGGGCGCTCCCTCCCCGCCGCCCCTCACACGCACGCTGCCCGGCGGCGGCGGCAGCAGCGGGGCGGTCTCCCGCTCCTCCTCCTCCTCCTCCTCGCCGTCCTCCTCCTGCCGCTCGCGGGCGGACAGGTACCAGCCACGGGCGAGCAAGGGCCGGACCCGCCCGGACCCCCAGGGCGGCGGCGCCGCCATCGCCCCCCGCGCCCGCCGAGCGCCTCTGAGGGGAGCGCCGGGGGCGGGGCCAACCGCGGGCGTGGCCGTAGGGTGGGCGTGGCCACAAGTGAGGGGCGGAGCCGTGCCCGCCCCGCTGAGGGAACATAGAGAGGCGTGGTATTGTGGGCGTGGTCATCTCTGGCCCCGCCCCTCACGCTGAGGGGGCATGGAGGGGCGGGGAATGGTGGGCGTGGCCACTGCTGAGCCCCGCCCAGCCCGGCGCAGCGGCGATGACGCGCGCGCGCGGCGCGCGGGCCCCGGCATGAGGTGAGGGCGGGGGTGGCGGGGGGAGACAATTCCCTGAGGGGAGAGCGGGATAACCGGGGAGAACGGGATAATCGCGGATCGTGTGCTGAGGGAAGGGACGGTGTCTCTCCAGGGGTGCCTTGGGAAGGTGGCGGCAGTGGCCTCCAGCCAGATCCAATGTTGTGGGCGCCTCTGTCCTGTGGGTTTAATCCGATACCGAGAAGCGGCAGGATGAGAGGACATGGCCCCAGGTTGCGCCAGGGAAGGCTTAGTTTGGACATTAGAAAGAATTTGGTCACAGAAAAGGTGATCAGACATTGGAACGATGTCCGGCAAAGTGGGGGAGTCACTGTCCTGGAGGTGTTTAAGGAAAGATGGGGCGAGGCACGCCGTGCCATGGGGGTGGGTGCTCGATGATCCCGGAGATCTTTTCCAGCCGATTCGATTCTCTGGTTCTGAGACCCACAGCACCCCCAGGAGAAGCAGGGGGATGCTGAGGGCTCTGGATGAGGGATTTCTCCTGTGCACAGGGTGAGCAATGCCGTGTGCCTTTCAGGAGCTGTGTTCTGCCAAAAGCCTGGCTCAGGGAGAGGGGCGGCCTGGGGGATGCACGGAGCGGAGCCGGGATTGGGGCAGGCCGGGATGGGAGCAGGAGCAGCCTGGGCAGGGTTTGGCACAGGAGGTTTGTGAAGGACAGAGCACACAGCCTGGTGTTACCTTGGAGAGGGGCAGCGCTGAGGGAGGCACGCAGGAAAACCAATTTCCCTGCAGAGTCTCTCTCTGAAAACAAGCTTATAAAAAAATCAGGAGGAACGCCAGCCTCCAGCACCACTTAAACCATTGGCTCCTACCTTGCAGCAGCCAGTGCCAAGGCAGGGAATTTGGCCCTTTTGGTCTGTCTCTAGTGGAGGAAACCATTTAGAGCAGTGTGAAGCCACTTTTCCAGTTTCCATCCCGTGGATGAATTAGGGCTCAGTGGCAGGAACAGACATTCCTGGTGCTCCTCTGGACCTTATGGTGGACACTGCATTTAATGAATGACCTTTCTGGCATGCACCTTGTGACTGTGTTCACAGGGGTCCGAGGATGAGGGAAGAGAGGAGAATCTGACTCCATTTTTCAGAAGGCTGATTTATTATTTTATTATATACATTATATTAAAACTATACTAAAAGAATAGAAGAAAGGATTTCATCAGAAGGCTGGCTAAGAATAGAAAAAGAAAGAATGAATAACAAAGGCTTGTGGCTCTGACAGAGAGTCTGAGCCAGCTGACTGTGATTGGCCATTAATTAGAAACAACCACATGAGACCAATCACAGATGCACCTGTTGCATTCCACAGCAGCAGATAATCATTGTTTACATTTTGTTCCTGAGGCCTTTCAGCTTCTCAGGAGGAAAAATCCTAAGGAAAGGGTTTTTCATAGAAGATGTCTGTGACACACCTCGTGGAGCAAAGCTCTTACAGAGCATGGAACCTCTTACACTGGGGCATGGCAGGCAGAAATCACCCAAGAGTTACCATGACCACTGTTGCTAATAACTGTTTTCTAGCAACCACTGCTTGGTAATGAATTTTACCAGACACAGGAGGGATCCAACAGGAGTAGGATCAAGACAGTAGAAATATTTCCATTTGGCTTACTGAGATTAAAATCACATTTATTAGAACAAAGAGAGGTCATTGTGTTTTGGCAGGAGGGGATTATCTCACTGCTTGAAGTCAGTTAACATTTGAGTCTGAAAGTACATTTGCAAAATAACAAATTTGCAGCATATATTTCATAATAAAGAGCTTTACTAAACTATTGTGGATTGTTTGGTACAGATGGAAATTCTGGTTTAAGAGAACAGCAAATCCATGTGATTTGCAGCCTTTTAAATGGAATGATTACATAATGTCTATAAAATGAATAATTTCTCTTCTAGGACTTTGTGGAGATTGGGATACTGTGCCAGACTACTGAAAACTAATCATTTTAGAACAGCTGCATCAAATCCATCATTTCCAGCAGTTTGGATGCTATTGGCACAACATTCTGGCACAATACCTGGGCTCTTTGTAGTAGTTCAAAAAAACACTTTGTTCACAATGCCCGAAACCGTGGAGGATAAAACTAATCCAGAACTGTATCTGCCACATCCTGGAGTGCGTGGGATGACAGTGCTCAACAGAGAGGCTTTCAAAAGGACTCTGGTTGTTCCAGCTCTTAAAGTCAGGAAGGAAATTGTGCACAGAGTGCTGAAGTCCCTGAAACAATCGGTACTGAAGCGCCCCGGCCTCAAGCGCGTGGTGGAGGACCCAGAGGATGAGGACAGCAGATTTGTTATCCTGGATCCTCATCAAGTGCCAGATTTCTCATTAGGGGAGTCAGAGCAGCAGGCCCTGAGGGAGCTCAGTGTCCCTGCTGAGGTGTGCAAGCACCAGCTGGAGCTGAGCTACGAGAATTTCAAGTCGGAGGAGATCCTGAGGGCCGTCCTTCCCCAGGGCCAGGAGGTCACCTCTGGCTTCAGCCGTGTGGGCCACATTGCTCACCTGAACCTCAGGGACCACCAGCTGCCCTACAGACACCTCATTGGTAGGTGCAGCAGCTCCTCTCTGCAAGGTGTTTGTGCCATTTGTGTATTGTTAAAAAGTTGCTGTGCTGAGGGGCACAGCTCTCACAGTGTGGTGCTCTCACTGCCCTGTGCTGAAGTGTGTGCCTTGGACAGGGCACAGCTGCAGCCCTGAGTCATTGTTCCAGCACACACCTACTTCTGTTAATTTAGCTGTAAACAGCAGCTTTGTTGTGGCTGTTGTTGAAAGGTCCTAGTCCCTTAACCATAATTATCTCCCACCCTCTCTTTCAGGCCAGGTGATAATGGACAAGAATCCAGGAGTCACCTGTGTAGTGAATAAAACCAACATTATTGACAGCACATACAGGAACTTTGAAATGGAAGTGCTTGCTGGAGAGAGCAACCTGGTGACCAAGGTACAGGCCTTTCCCCTGCTGTTTTCAATTTAATGTGCTAAAACAAAACCCAAAGGAATCTTCTGGAGAGGTGTGATGCAGGAATGCTGCTGAGACCATTCCTGTGCACAGTGCCCTTCCTGACACCTGCCTGAGCCTGAGGCTTGGCTGTTTCTGCTGCATGCCTTTGTCCTGCTCTGCCCAGGGCAAACTCAGCCACAGGGGTCAGGAAGGCATGTGTTCTTCCAGTTCACAGCCCAGATTTAGTGATGTGGATTTGAGCTAAGAAACTCCAATTTCCTGATTTCACCAAGCCTTGTACAGTGGCTGGTACAGAAATTTCTATCTCACCAACTTTGCAACTTAGGCAACATTTTGCCTTTGTTGCCTTTGCCTTTTTTCTCTCCTGTCAGCAGCAAGACAAACCTCCTGTCTCCTCTGCTCTGACATCTATCAGGTGCAATCACTGTGTGACTGCCAAGTCTTCTTCACATAGGGCTTCTTGTCTGTACATGGAAACTTGGCCACTGCTTCCACAAAAATATTTTATCTGTTAGCAGCTTTATGCTTTCAAAGGAGAAAAAATGAGATTACCAAATAAAAGTTGAATAGCTTGGTGGAACATCCTGTTCACGCAGAGAGAAGGCCACTGGATTGTCAGGGCAGCAGTGACAATGGAATGTGCTGCAGATGGTGTCACCACACACCTGGCACAGCATGGAGCTGCATGCAGGAGTGCAGACACTTCAGACACTTCACTTTGTTTCTTGCTGGCAAAGCAAACAGTGTGAGATCTGGATCCCAAGTTACTTTGGAATCAGACAATTCCACATGCTGGTGCAAAGAGAGTATTATCTTGCATCCCATTCTCATCTGAATGAATACTGTTCCTTTTCAGGTCTGTGCTTGAGATAGTGGTCATCCCAGAGCCTGGGTTTGGATCAGCCTCCAGACTCTGTCACCTTGGGAGATGAAATGCAGCATTTTTCAAGCTGCAGAACTGGCTTCCAGTGGCTTTGACTTTGGCTGACAGTTCCTATTCTTGGGCCTATCATTCTCAGACACTTATTTACTGTGTGCACTTCACAAAGGAGGGCTTGAGGCTTCTTTCCAAGCTCTGCTTTCAATAAAGGAGCTGTCAGCCAGCCACAGAGCTCTTGAAAACCCTCAGATTTTTGTAGGGTCATTTGAAGTTGCTGCTTTATTTCCACCTGGTGATTGAGACCTGCATAATGCCAGCTATCAGGATTGATAGTGGGGACATGGCTGTGTCTGATGAGTTGATCTGGTAAAGAATTAAGATCTGTTTATTTGATTCCTTAGCTGATCTGTTTGTTTAAGATTCACATATGCCACCAGTGGGACAATGCTGATGTACGTTACCCTTTGATAAGGCACCTTAATTTTCTTAATTAGGATAATGCTTAAATCTGCCTGGCATTTGAACTCAGAGGCTTAACCAAACGTTTTGGACTTGCAGGTCAAAGAAAATAACATTTCCTACGAGCTGGACTTCTCCAAGGTGTACTGGAACCCGCGGCTGTCCACGGAGCACGGCCGCATCGTGGCGCTGCTCAGGGCCGGCGATGTTCTGTTCGATGTCTTTGCCGGCGTCGGCCCTTTCGCCATCCCGGCGGCCAAGAGGAGGTGCCGGGTGTTTGCCAACGACCTCAACCCCGACTCCTACTCCTGGCTGCTGCACAACTGCCGGCTCAACAAAGTGCACAGCCAGGTGAAGGCGTTCAACATGGACGGCAGGGCCTTCCTGCGGGGGCCGGTGAGGGAGGAGCTCAGCAAAGAGCTCCCGCTGCTGGGGGAGGAGCACCAAACCGCGTTCCACATCGTGATGAATCTGCCAGCCCTGGCTGTGGAGTTCCTGGATGTCTTCAGGCATCTCTTGGTGGGGGAGCCCTGCAGCCCTGCCGGCCTCCCCACTGTGCACTGCTATGGCTTCTCCAAGCACAGCGACCCAGCCAGGGACATCCAGGAGCGGGCAGAGGCCGTGCTGGGAACCTCCTTGGCCGGGCGCTGCTCCACCTTCCTGGTCAGGAACGTGGCACCCAACAAGGAGATGCTGTGCCTCAGCTTCCAGCTCCCAGCAGATGTGCTCTACAAGAGGCCCTGCCCTGAGGAAGGTAAGGAGCAAACTCCCCACGTGGCATTGGGATTTCAGGCTGCACCTTGTGCTGCTCCCACCTGCTCAGCCCCGTGGCTGTGTGACATTGGCTGTGGCACTGAGCACGGAGCTGGCCAGCAGGACTGAGGGCCTGCATGTGTGCAGCAGCTGCAGGGCTTTCCTTGCTGTGCTAACAGCAGCCTGCTCCTCTGATCCCAGCATGAGCTCCCCAGAAAAATGGACTGGACAGGATCACCCCACAGGCCATAAACCAGACCTCCATGCCTCAGGTTGGGGCACCCAGTAATCCCTGTGGGCCCTTCCAGTGCAGGGTATCCAGGGGCTCTGTGATCTGGTGCCAAGCACACGGCCCTGTCAGCTCAGTGCTTCCAACTGGAGCTGTGTTTTCCCCAGATCAGTGCACTCCCAAGGGACTGCTCCCAGCTCTGACCTCCTTATGCTCACACAGCTCTGGAGTCACCACAGCAGCACAATCAGGTTCTGTACCTGACTGAGTTTAACTGAGACATAGACACCCTTGGAGATCTTCGGGGCTGAATTTGGTTGTTTCGTGGGTTTTCTTTTTTGTTTATAATTGTTCATTTCAGAAACTGGTTGGTTTCAATGATCTTGGGCTTTGCAATCCATGACAAAGGGAGCAGAGGGAGGCTCCCATCTGCAGGTACACGAACTGGAAGTTTTTATAAAGTTTTAATGCCATGAAACTTACTTTTATGCTGTTGTCAGGTTGTACTGAAATGTAGGTCAGAATGCAGCTTCATACAGGTTTTTGCAAAGTCTTTTTTGGCTTTCAGTAAAGACCCCCCATTATTGCTCTAAGAGTTTTCATTTGTGACTGTTAATCCTCATTTTAACTCTCATCTCTTCCTGTTAAATCCCTTACCAGAGCTTGTTGTAGGTCAGTCTGTTTATGTACATTAAATAACTTGCTTTTTCTAACCTTTTCCAGCAAAACCAGCCTCAAAACGTCTCTGTACCAGCCAAGATTGTTCAGAAGAGAAGGCACTGAGTTGAAGACTATGGTGACTGCCTTAGTTTGTGTAAGGGATATTTGGGGTGTCTCTGGTTTACCCCTTGAGTTATGAGGAGCAGAGCTGTGTTCCCATCGAGTTGCAGCTTTATTTTGGGGGCCTTGCTTCCTGCAGTTACCTTTTCTTCTCATTGTGGGATCGACTGAAATTGCTACTACAAAAAATTAAAGCTTTATTCTCTTATAATAAATGTGTTTTGGTACTTCCCTGCTCTCTGTTGTTTCACACCCTGTGCTAACTCAGTGGCAGGGCCTGGGGTGGTTTTCTGCTGTATCATTTTGATGATGTGCAAGTTGTGGGGAGAACAGACTTTTGTGTCTTGTCAGGCCTGGGAAGGTGAGTGATACAACCCCTGCCCTGGATTCTCCCTGACAGATGTGTTCTGCTTTCAGAATATTGGGTTGTGCTTAGCAGATGCACAAACAGCTCTTGTGTAAGCAAGGTAACCTTTCAAAAGCTTAACCTGAGATACCAAAAAGGCCTGATAGCCCAACATCCTGAGGTTTTGAGTAAAAAATTCTTTTTAACACCAAGATTTAGTTAGGGATTAGTTGACTCCTAACTCTGTGTTTGCCCATGGTTAGAGCCAGAAAGACTTTAATGTCTTTTGCATGTTTGCAGATGAAGTTTATGCTCTCATTGCTGAAACCAGCACCTGAAAAACAGTTCTGTCCTCCTGACACCGTGTCCTGCCATGGCTTCTGTGCCTCTGCCCTCTCCAGCTCTCCCCACCTCTGCCTGCTCCCCTGCTGCAGTCCCTGGATGATCTTTCTGCCTGGCTGCTTGTATTCTGTGGGGATTTGAAAAGCCTGTGCCTTTGATTTCCTTTTCTTACCCATCCAAACTATTGTTGGGCAATGTCAACCACAAACAGTTTCTTTGGCCGGAGCACTCGGCTCGCCCTCTCCGTTTCAGATATTTTCCCTCAGCCCAGGCTCTGAGCTCACACCCAGCCACCAGATGTGTGTCACCCTCGTGGCCCTGCTGCTGTGGCCCCAGCCCTGAGCCTGCTGCATTTTTGGTTCTCACCCAAACACCACCGAGGGCCGCGGGTTTGTTTTGCTGGTGGTTCTGTGTGCCGGCCTTTCCTTCCCTTGGCTGCACAGCTGTGTTGGGAGTGAGCCCTCGAGCTGCATTCCTGCAGGATCTCATTTATCCATCCCCAGGGAGGCTGTCCTGCCTCACCTGAGTATCCTGATCCCTGCCTGGCCTGCACTGAGCCCCAGACTCCTGCTCAGCCCTGCAGCTCCAGCCCATGCTCTCCTCCCAGGCACGGCTGTGCTGGGGTTCTGTCCCTGCTCTGCTGCTCTCCAGCTGCTGCCTCCCACTTCCCACAAACATCTGAAGGCAGCTCCTGTTCTCCAGGGCTCCCACCAGCACTGCTGGAGTGGTAAGGCACTGACTGAACCACTCTGGGATGGTGCAGCCACCCTGGGATCCCTGTGACTTCACAGCCCCAGTTCAGGGCTTGGCACCACTGCACCAACCCAAACCATTTCTGGGCCAAAATATGTAACTCTGATTTTCACTACAGTGTCAGGGCAGGGAAGGATTTAAAGTGGTAAATTTTTTTCTCCCTGAAGAACCAAATGCCAGTGTTATTCCAGCAGCATAACTTCAGTTCAGATACCAGTCTAGCAGATACATCACTGTGCTCATAACCAGGGATTTTCCAGCTTTCTGTGCAGCTGCCAGTTCTGTGTACACGAAATGACATAATAAATAACAGCCAAGCTACACACAAATTAATGAGTGTATTGAAATTATGAATATTAATATGCATATGCAGTTCTGCATTCATTAGGGCATGACCTGGGGCTTTACAGAGTGAATCTGAAGAGATCATTGGTGATCTTTGCCAGCCTGGGTGAGCCTGGGAGAGGAAAGAAAGGAGAATAGAGGAGGGAAAGATCTGATCTTACCTCTGCCTTCTGGAACATTCCTTGTCAGCAGCTGTTCTGGGCACAACCAGGGGGATTTCAAAGGGCAATGGAAATTTTGCCATCTCCCCCCATTTTCTTTAAAAAGAAAACACCAAGTCTGGAATAGATCTCATTCATCTCTTTATTACAGCATAGAAAAATTACATCCATCTAGTGCACTCTCAGAGCAGGACTCAGCAGCTCTAAAACATGGCCCAGGGTGGCTGTGCTGAGCAGCCTCCCACCCCCTGCCCTTGGTCACAGCTCCATCACAGGGAGCAGGCCAGGAATGCAGAAAGGATCCCATCGGGTGGCAGGGACCATCCCCAAAGCCAGAGGGATGTTCCCACCTAAAGAAACTCCTGAGTTTATGACAGAAAAGTTGCAAATGGAGATAAACAGGAAAAAGCAAACATACAAAGGCAAAACAAACAAATCCCAAAAGGGAACCCCACAATTTTGACTACTTCAGTGACTTTGTCATGTACTGGCATTTCTTAGATTGCTTCTAGAGCACCTCAGCTGAAAGACCTTGAGCTAAAGCTTTTTTCCCAAGCAAAGGTAAGAACCAGTGACACAGGGAGGAAGGATCCCACACAAGAGCTGTGTCAGCATATTTCCAGAGTTTCTTGTCTCATCCAGCTGGCAGGAGGAAAAACCCACTTGTCTAAACTGGGAAAACTAGTTTTATGGGAAGAAAATGCAGGCTTGAATATTGACACTAAATGTTATAATCAAAATGGCATTTAAATACTTGTGCAAATAAAACCCTGCAATAAGAGTAAAACCACAAACTTTATTAAAGTCTGGCTTTATTTAAAAAAAAATTTACAAGTGTATTTCTTTAAGCCTCAAACGTACACAGCAGAGTTATTCACATCTTCCATTAGATGTGGCTTATTGCTTCAGCCTCCCTCAGCACAGTGCCACATAAGTAACGAGTTTCCCCCTCCACAAGAATGTTCCTGCCATTTTACACAGCTCTGGTGCAGGGGGGGTTTGGTTTTTCCCTTTATCCCTGGAGCGCAGCCGGTTTTGCACCAGAGCGGGGCACAGGGCAGCGGGTG